TGGGTGGGATGGGACAATCCCCATATCTAGGTGTGTCCCACCTGCCCAGGTTGCACTTCGGGGGGCTGGGCCAGCTCTCAGACGGGGTCCTGGGCCTCGATGACTTCTTGAGGACCCGCGAGCGCCGCCTGTGGCCAGGCTACGACTACGTGGGGTGGCCGCGGCCACCTGGGCCCCACCCCAATGTGGAGCTGGAGTTTGAGTTCCAGGAGCTCCGCACCTTCCACGCCATGCAGGTGCCCCGGGGAATGCTGGGAGATTTGGGGCGCCTGGAATTGTGGGATTGGTCAGCCATGGATGGATGGATGGGTGGCCACCACATCAATCCCAGCTTGGGGTCTGGGATGTCCCTCTGGAGAACGTCTGGATTGGTCACCTTGCCCCAGAGCATCATGGGACGCATTGTCACCCCCCCCAGGTCCACTGCAACAACCTCCACACGCGTGGCGTCGGAATCTTCCGGGCGGTCGAGTGTCGCTTCAAGAAGATCTTGGCCACGGCCTGGGAGCCCACGGTGGTCACCCACAGCCTGGCCGGGGCCACCAAGGACCCCAGCGCCCGCTTGGTCACTGTCCCCTTGGGTGGACGCCACGCCCGTTTCATCCAGTGCCGCTTCTTCTTTGGCGCCGAGTGGATGCTCTTCAGTGAGGTCTCCTTCCTCTCAGGTTGGGTGTTGGGGTTAACAATTGGGTGTTGGGGTCAATGGTTGGGTGTTGGGGTCATTGGTTTGGTTTTGGGGTCATCCGTTGGGTGTTGGGGTCAATGGTTGGGTGTTGGTGTCAATGGTTGAGTCATTGGGTCAATGCTTGGGTGTTGGTGTCAATGGTTGAGTCATGGGGTCAATGCTTGGGTGTTGGTGTCAATGGTTGAGTCATGAGGTCAATGGTTGGGTGTTGGTGTCAATGGTTGAGTCATGGGGTCAATGGTTGGGTGTTGGGGGTCAATGGTTGGGTGTTGGGGCCAATGGTTGGGTGTTGGGGCCAATGGTTGACTCTTGGGGTCATCGGCTGGTTGATGACATCATTGGTTGACTGGTGAGGTCGTCATCAATCAATGACGTAATTGATTTCCCAATAACACCGTTGATCATTCATTATATTATTGTCGATGACGCCATTGACTGTGGATGACGTCACCAATGACTGTCCCCACCCCCAGAGGTGCTGGATGACCCCGTGGGTGCCAGCGGGTGGCCCCCGACCCCTGACCCCTCCTCCGCCATCTTGGAAAACGCCCGTGACAGGGACGGGGCCACCAACGTCACTGCTGCAGGTAGGCAGGGCTTAGATGGGTGTGGTTGAAATGCGTGGGGTTTAACTGGGCGGGGTTTAAATGGGAGGAGCTTAACTGGGAGGTTTTAGTGGGTGTGGCTTCACTGGGAGGGGCTTAAATGAGTTGGGTTTAAAGAGGAGGGGGTGTAGTGGGTGGAGCATAACTGGGCGTGGTTTAACTGGAAGGGGATTGAGTGGGTGTGGTCAATTGGGTGGGGCTTAATGGGGTGGGGCTTAATGGGGTGGGGCTTAATGAAGGTGTAAGTGGGTGGGGTTTAATTGGGCGAGGTTTAATTGGGCAGGGTTTAATGGAGGTGTAAATGGGTGGCGCTCTAATTGGGTGGGGCTTAATAGGGTGTGGCTTAATGAAGGTGCAAATGGGTGGGGCTTAATGGGTGGGGCTTAATGGAGACATGAGTGTGTGGGGTTTAGTTGGGGGGAGCTTAATGGGTGTGGCTTAATTGAAGAGTAAGTGGGTGGGGCTTAATTGAGTGGGGTTCAATGGGATGGGGATTAAATGGGTGTGGCTTATCTGAGGTGGGCGTGGCCATGACACCCCCCTGCCCTTCTCAGTAGCCCCTGGGGAGGCCGAACTGGTCCCGCCGGCGGCCCAGGGTGAGGCGGGGCAGTCGCCGGCGCTGCTGGGCTGCCTGGGCGCCATCATCCTCCTCCTGCTCGCCATCATCATCCTCATCCTGCGGCGCCGCCGCGGTGCGGCCGGGTCGCTGGGCAAGGTCACTGGGAGGGACTGGGGGGGACTGGGAGGGACCTCAGTAGCCCCTGGGGAGGCCGAACTGGTCCCGCCGGCGGCCCAGGGTGAGGCGGGGCAGTCGCCGGCGCTGCTGGGCTGCCTGGGCGCCATCATCCTCCTCCTGCTCGCCATCATCATCCTCATCCTGCGGCGCCGCCGCGGTGCGGCCGGGTCGCTGGGCAAGGTCACTGGGAGGGACTGGGGGGGACTGGGAGGGACTGGGAGGGGATTGGGAGGGGACTGGGAACTGGTTTTTACTGCTCAGAACCAGTTTTAACCGAGGCTGAACTGGTTCTGACTGGTTTCAACTGGTCTGAGTCACTTCTAACTGCTCTGAGTTGGTTTTAACTGGTCTGAACTGGTTCTAACTGGTACAAACCAGTGTGAACTGGTTCTAACTGCTTGGAACTGGTTCTAACTGGGGCTGAACTGGTTCTAACCCCTCAGAACTGGTTCTAACTGCTCTGAATTGGAGCCGAACTGGTTCTAACTGGTCTGAACCCCATCTAACTGGTTGTAACTGATTCTAACTGGTTTGAGCCAGTTCTAACTGGTTGTAACTGGTCTGAGTCAGTTCTTACTGGTTCTAACTGGTTATAACTGGTTATAACCGGTTCTAACTGCTCTGAATTGGAGCCAAACTGGTTCTAACTAGTTCTAACAGGTCTGAGCTGGTTCTAACTGGTTTTTACTGGTCCTCAGGGCCGCGGGGCGGAGGCG